TGTGTCCAATAATTTGGTGTCGAATCGATCGGTGTCGAATCGTACTGTGGTCAAACGGAACACGCCCCTTTGAACAGTAACTCTTTCTCTGTCTATCAATGTCTGTGGTGGGATCATAGACGTATAATATATAGACTGCGCGTTTGGCTGAAAAATGTCTTCAACGTTGAGAGAGACAACATACTTTGAATAGTAACTCTTTCTCTGTCTATCAATGTCTATGGTGGGATCAGGGTGTACTGTTTCATACCACCTAAACCTACCATCACCCCTTAATCTCTTTTATTCTTCATCCCCACTATTTTTCTATTCCCATTTTTCCACTACTATTCTATCAATCAGCGAGGACTTCTTTTTCTCCCACTACTTTGCTAGACAAAGATGAGGCTACTATTCGACACCAGCTGTCTCTCTCAACGTTGAAGACATTTTCTTAACATGGCAAAGGTAGGGAACGCGCAGTCTATATATTATACGTCTATGGGTGGGATCAGGGCTTACTGTTTCCATAGAGCTTATAGATATGGAGTGGTAATAGCGGCGACGAGCTGTGAGCAAGATCTGAGAGACAGAAGATATACTTCTGTTCTGCTCGTGTACTGTTTTTCTTTCTGCGCATGTGCTTGCGCAAGTACCACGTGATATACAAGATTTGTCTTATTTCCTGAAAATAACCTGTAGAAGCCAGTGCAAGGAAATAAGACAAAGCAACGGTTTTTTAATAGAAGTAAACTTACTTCTATTAACTCCTTACTCTTACTTCGTGGCGCGCTATCAAGTTCGATCTCCTTACTCTTACTCATATATGTAATACTTCTATATCGCTAGTACGGTGCCGACCTGAAGCCATATATATAATACTCCTATATTGCTAGTACGGTGCCGACCTGAAGCTCAATGTTACGGTGCAGACAATATAGCAGCCTCTCTCTCCAGCTGCTTTGTGCGCATGCGGTGAACATTCAAGCACGTTTGGGCATTTCTCTTTTTCTCGCGTTCTTTCCAATGCTTTGTTTCGCTCGCACTCGCTTAGTAGACGCGCCTGCGCAAAATGACGCTCGACTATCTATGCCCATATTTGGACTTCGTGCGTCTCCCTTTCTCGGGCCTCGTGCCTCTCATTGCGAAGATACGCGACTAGCCACGGCTGATATAACAAGATAAGTTACATATACTAAATGTGTACATGTGTTAGTTGTGTACATGCATAGGTTTGCAAATGGCGTCCAACCGTAAAAAACTATTCTCTTGAGCGGATTCCCTCCCAATGAACCGTAAAAATCGGGACCACTTTTGTATCACGGAGTTCGGTCTCTTACTCTTACGTCGTGTTCGCGAGCCACAATTGCACCTACCCATCTACTATAGGACTCTACTAGGGAATACCGTTCCTCTTATCTCTAGCCCCCACGTCCACGAAACGAATTTATGATCTTGAGTGTTCTAAGAACATTCAATTTCTCATTGGAGATGGTAAAAGTCCAGCCGGAGAAAATTTATAAATTCCAAGTAAACTTACACAAGTGAATTATGACACATTAAATTTGTGATCTCGATACACTACTTTATTTTTCAAAAAGAAAAAACATCGAAAAAATGTATTTAACGTTACAGCTAGTTTCGTTAAATGAGCAACGCGATTGCTCTCTCATTATTCTATAACATATCTTTGAAACAGCTCTCTATCTAAAAAAAAAAAACGCATAACTAGACGCAAGTCAACCTGACAAATTGCAAAATATAGTACTTCGGTTTCATATTGTTATCGGTCTATCAAAATATGACAAGTTACTCTTTGTGTAAAACCAGCAATAAAATACATACATAACTCTCAATCAAGTATGCTGTAAAGTTGCAATTGCTACATTTGAAATAATCACGATAAAAATATTTAGTTGGAAAAAATTAAGTTAGGAAAAACAAAGATTATGCTTTTTTTGTTGAGTTCACAGAGATAAGCATGCAAATTACAGAACATCATCATTTGATTGTTACGAGAGAACAAAATAAAAACTTCGATCGTAAGAATTCGAGGTAAAAGAAGTTATATTTTAACATATTTAAAAAATATTAAATTTTTGTGAAACATTTGCAGCAAATATTTGTGAAAAAATATGTGAACTTAAGAATTGTTAGTAGAACGTTTTTAAGTGTATATATTAAAAACCAATGTGTGTATGTGTACACACGCGCGCGCGCGCGCGTAATATATAGGGTGTCCAGAAATTGCCATACAATCGTTCGTAGGGTTAGGTAGGAGTTATACTGAATCACAAAGTCCTATATCACTTTGTAAGATTCACAATAATTAACGATATGTTAAGTAATAAAATTCCGCAAAAGAGCGTCCATCCACGTGCAAAATGACAGCTCAATGTTTCGCACGCTCACGAAAGTCAAAGCAACAGAACGGGAGGAGCTAATATGATAGCATATAATATACATAATAGATATACATGATATATATAATTTATAATTTTTTTAATGATATTCTTCCTATAAATAAGTAACTAAATAAAATCAAATTTATTATTAACACACTTCGACATTAGACTAATTTATTTCAATGAAAAAAATACGGCCCATGCTTTCGCGTTTAGGTATTGATAGTTATTGATTTTTACGTATATTGTATGCGAAACACTAAGCTGTCATTTTGCACGTGGATGGGCGCTCATTCACGGATCTTTATTAACATCTCGTTAATTATTGCGGATCTTGCAAAAGTGATGTAAGACTGTTTGACTCACCCCAATAAGCAAATTGTGAAAATATTGCACAAAAATAACATCATGAATAATGACGATTTTGCAATGATTGCTCTAATATGATTCGCCATAACACAACAGTTTTGTCAAAATAAAATTTTGTAAATAATATTTGTCAAAAATTGGAAGAGTCGTTATGCATTTCTCTATAAATATATACATGAATTAAGTTGATTTTTTCAAATGCAATTATATTTCTACATGTTTTAAACATCACATAGCTGAAATTTTTTTTCAATTATTGAACACTTTTTTTTTGAAATTAATCTTGCAAATATACTGCTAAGATGATTCGCCATATCGTTATTCTTTTGCCGAAATAGTATTTGTAAAGTAATTTAGCAAACATCTACAAATATTTTATAAAAGATCAATGTTTTTACATCTATTTTTCCTAAAATATATCTATATAATTACAAATTACAATTTTAATGCAAGATTTTGTCACATAATTTTATAAATGTTTTCCTATCAGGGTATAATCTCTTCTATCTGCTTACACAGACATCCATCCATCCAGACATCCATTAGACGTCGACGTCTAATAGAGTTTTTGTTCTGTGTGGATGCTTACGAGCGATTGTACTGCAATTATAATTAGACACACACCCTGTATATACAAACACACAATATATACAGGGTGTTTCAGAACTATGGGATCAAACTTCTAGGGGTTATTCAGTGCAACAGTAGAAAACATTTGAGTATAGAAACCCATGTCCGGAAAAGTGTCACTACCGCACTACGGCCCTAAGACGCGTTAAAATTTAGAAAGACGATGAA